CAGCAAGTGGCATGGTGGTTAAGAGCACTGGACTCCCACATGGCCAACCATGGTTCGAGTCCCAGACCTGGTGGCTTGCTTTCTCACCTGCCCTCTCTCTCTGTCGCGCTCTCTCTCTTACTCTGTCCCTCTCTTTATATATTTATAAGTAAATATATAAATAAATAAAGTTAAATAAAATAATTCTTTTTAAAAAAAGAAAAACAAGAAAGGATTGCGGTGTAACCATGCCCCACTGTGGGTGCTTTCTTTTTTTTTTTTTTTTTTTTGGGGTTGCTTTCTTTTTTTTTTTTTGAAGAGGTTTTTGCTATAGGGTGTGTGTGCTCGCCAGACAGACAGGGAGAGACAGAGAGACAGAAAGCGAGAAATCACCCCCCCAGGGGGATGACCACGCCGCAATCCCTTCTCCTCCATTCTCCTCTTGGGATCTTGGGCACGCACACATGCCAGGCGTGAGTTTTAAGCCACTAGGTCCGGGACACAAACCGCAGTCGACTACATGGGAGTCCAGCACCATAGCCATTACACTAACTGCTAGTCCCTGTGGGCGCTTTCTTAATCTCTCTCTCTACCTCTCTGGGAAGTGCTCACCCACTCTGGCAAGTAAGTAAGCCAGCAAGCAAGCAAGAGAGAGAGAGGGAGGGAGAGTGAGAGAGAGAAAGAGGAAGAAAGCAAATGTCTTCATTAAATACTAAGAGAACCAGGGAGAAAAACAACTTGTCAATATGGCTGAATGAGTATTCAAGCTCTAGAATTCTGCCTTTCTATTTAGAGTAAGGAAATGACATTTCACCCATAGAAAAAAGACTGTATTTGGTTTACAGGTGGGGCTGGCTCAGGAGTCACAACTATCACACATGTAATAAAAACTTGTTTCTCCATAAGGAGTTCTCTAAGATTATCTTCAACTAGAAAAGCAGGTTTTAGCTTTACCTGTTGAGACCAACATTTGCAGTGCTCACTGGAGAATACTGGATGCTACTGGAGAAGCTACGAAACGTGGAGGAGAGAAACTACCACTTGTTCTCCTAGCAGGTGCACACAGAAGCACGCTCTTGCCCTGAGGCACCACTCGTTCATTCGTTTATTGGCTTGATTTAAAGCCAAGGGACATGTGTGCAGGTACCACAGAGACACAGAGACACAGAAGCACCCGCCAACATAGCCTGGCCTTGCTGCAGTCCTTCTTCCAATTCTTCATACATGCGCATGCCAGAGTATGTCATTCCAGAATATGCCTCTTTGAAATCAAACTGATTTTTGACCTGAAGGCAATTAAGAAACAGCGGCACCGGCAGACAACATGGAGGCAAAGGTGGCTGGATCGCACAGGGTCAACTGCAGGGTTTGAGGCTGTGACCTAATGACTTGAAAAATAAGCCAGTTATGTGTGCATGCAGGCCCAAAACCCCGAGAGGAGAATGGAGGAGAAGGGACTGTGCAGTGGCCAACCTCCCCGGGCGGTGCTTTCTCACGTTCCCCCCACCCCCGTCTCTGGCAAGTGCACACACACTATAGCAAAAAACAAGCAAACGGGGGCTGGCAGGTGTGTGGTGATGAAGGTGCTGGATTCCACCATGGCTGACTGTAGATCGAATCCTAGACCTGGTGATCTGAAAATCATGCAGGCAGATGCATGCATGCCCAAATTCCCAGGAGGAGCATAGATGAAAAGGAATTGCAGTGTGGCCATCTCCCTGGGGGTAATTTCTCAATTTCCCTCTCTCTGTCTCTCTCTGGGGAGCTCATGAGCCCTTTGGCAAAGAAAAAAAAAATAAAAACTAAAACAGAACAAAACAAAACAAACGAACAAACAAAAAAACAACAGGGCTGACAGGTGGCGTGGTGGATAGAGGCGCTGGGTTCCCACATGACCAACTGTGGTTTGAGTCCTGGACCTGGTGGTTTGCTTTCTCGCTTTCCCCTTCTCTCTCTCTGGCCAAACTGAAAAATAATCACCACAAATGGAATTAAATAACAATTCTTTAAAAACAACAATAACAACAAAACAAAATCAAAAAGAAGTAGCAAATAGAAATCTAAGAAAAGTTAAGTTCTTTCTAATCTCCTTGCTTTTCTGCCTTGAGGCAGAATATAAATTCTCCTTTGCTGGACACCGTGGTAGACTCTCTCAGCCCAGAGAAAACGCCAGAGAAGCCTACAAATAAACCTCACCCTATGAGTGGTCTTTCACATAGTTGCCTCCCAGATCCCCCCCATCCTTGGAAGCTTAAAACCTCTCTCCTTTGTCTTGTTCTCTACAAACTTACTGTTCTTTAGTGAAAATGCTATACAAGCCAGAGTTCTCTTTTATAAACTTAATGTATGCCTTCCATGTAAGAGGCAGACAGAGAGGGAGAGAGATGGAGAGACAGCCCCCCCAATAGGGTCTTGATGCTGTGGCCCGCTCAATCTCAGCCAGCCCCAGATAACAGGCAGTACACACCCAACACATCCAGGGAGGTCTTGGGATGAGAACCTGGACCCCTTCCATGTGAATCAGCCTTACAGAGCACTGCAATTTTTAAAAATAATTATTTATTTAATTTTACTTATTATTATTTTTTAAATTGGACCAAAGAGATACAGAGAGATCAAAAATGAGAAAGCAAGCTGCCAAGTCCAGGATTTGAACTGCTGTTGGACATGTCGCAGCCCAGAGCTTTAACCACCACCCCACCTGCTGGCCCCACAGAGCACTGCATTTTACCACAGTACCACCATCTGGCCCTCTATATAAACCAGAGTTCTAAGCCACTGCTTTGAGTTACTTTTCATTGAATTTCTCCTGTATGATGAATGTTCTATGTGTTAATAAATTTGCTTTTCTCTTGTTAATCTTTCCTTTTCTTTTTTTTTCCAAATAAATTATTCAACTTTATTTGTTTTAATTTGACCAGAGAGGGACAGAGAGAGAGAAAGCAAGCCACTAGGGCTGGGACTCGAACCATGGTCAGCCATATGGGAGTCCAGCACCCTTAACCTGCTGACCCCCCCTCCTTTTCTTTGATTCTTTTATGTTTTTTAGATGGGGTCTTGCTATGTTATAATCTTCTTGCCTTAGCTTTTTGAGTAGCTGGGACTACAGGTATACCCATGCCTGGCTTTTTAGGGTGGGCTGGGATCAAACCTGAACCTTCCATGTGGCCTCAGCCTGCTGACCAACAGCATCAATTAGAGCCTGATACTTTAGCTGGCCTTTGCTAATCTATCTTTTGTTATTTGTGCTCCAGTTCAGAACTAAGAGGGTTGGAGAAAAATATTCTTCCTCCCCAATTATGTGCATACAAAGACATTTGGCCAAGTATTGTTTTTTTTTTTAATTTTTTAAGAATTATTTTAATTTTATTTATTCATTCATTTATTTTAATTTGACCAGAGAGAGACACATTGAGAGAGAGAGAGAGAAAGAAAAAGTGGGAAAGTAAGCCACCAGGTCCAGGAATTGAACCGTGGTCGGCCATGTGGGAGTGTCCAGCACTTTAACCACCATGCCACCTGCTGGTTAAGTATTGGTTATAACAGCAAAAAATATATTACCAACAAAAAGGAATCATTTAAACATTAATGTATCTCCATAATGGATTATTACTTAGTCAATAAATATTTTAAGGTAAATATAAACTAATATATTCATAAATAGTAACGAAAAAGGATACAAAGTGGCCGCACTGCTGACTGTGTATAGGAAGTCTAGTCCATCCTGTGGGTACCATACTGCCCTTTTTTTTTTTTCTTTGTTTTTGAGACGTTTTTGCTATAGGGTGCCAGACAGACAGAGAGACAAAGAGACAGAGAGCGAGAAATCACCCCCCAGGGGGGATGGCCACGCCGCAATCCCTTCTCCTCCATTCTCCTCTTGGGATCTTGGGCACGCACACACATGTGCCCGGCGTGAGTTTTAAGCCACCGGGGCCGGGATGCGAACCGCAGTCGACTATGTGGGAATCCAGTGACATAGCCATTACGCTAATTGCTGGTCCCCATACTGCCCTTCTTACGACCCAAGATTGGACTGGCTTGTTTGCTCACTTACCAGTTCCTCTCACAGTATCCTCAGTTATTGAGTGTCCTAAAAACGAAGTGTCGCATAATGGCTACCACTGTCAACTCTATTTCCATGCAGGAGCAACCTTCTTGCTCTGATTCTCACTTTGGCATCGCCATTGCCTGCAAAGCCATGTGGACAAACCTGCTGGAAGGTTTCCATCCGCTCAGGAGAAAGCTAATGTCAGGGCCACAGGAATGGAAAGGAATGGAAGCCACAGGAACCCAAGGCTTCCACACCGGGGAAACAGTGGTCCCTTCTCACTCAGATGTTCCCCTGCCTGCCAATGGGTGCAAGCAGAGGCTAGAGAAGGGGTGAGGGCCTTGTGCAGGAGGTCTGAGGTCCCAGTTACACCAGCCCCAAGTAGGTCTGGAATGATACATACAAAGTTGTCAACCTGGTTATGTTTTTTTTTTTTGGAGAGGTTTTTGCTATAGGGCATGTGCGCTCGCCAGAAAGACAGAGAGACACAGAGAGACAGAAAGCGAGAAATCACCTCCCGGGGGGGCAGCCACGCTGCAATCCCTTCTCCTCCATTTTCCTCTCGGGATCTTGGGCATGCACGCACATGTGCCCAGCATGAGTTTAAACCACCGGGACGGGGACTCGAACTGCGGTCGACTACATGGGAGTCCAGTGATATAGCCATTATGCCAACTGCTGGTCCCTCAACAGTGGTTATCTTTTAGTACCTGGAATTTTTTCCTTTTTTATTATTTTTTCCCTTATCTATTATTTTATAATTTTCTTCAATGAAAATGGCTCATTTTTGAGGTAGGAACAAATAATTTTTTTAAGTTAAAATGAAATGTCTAAGTAGATATGAAATGACTGAGAATCATTTTTACAATGAAAGCTATAATAATAATTTTGGACAAATATTCAGTCATCTGGCCTCTGACTCTGCCCCAGACCGACCCTCCCACGCCCCTCCGGTCCCGTTGGTACTCACATTCCTGAAGACACTCTGTGTCCGTGCAGTAGGACTGGGACTGTCGTAGCTGTGACGAAGAAGAGCAGCCAAGTTAGTTACCAGACTTAACCGAGAGTGGACGGACAGCGTCAGGAAGATCACGTTTTGTTTGAGTGTGTGTGTGTGCACGTGAGTGTGAGAAAGGCAGAGATGCTCACATACAAGTGGCCTCCACGGCGTTTGTTCCTGCCACCATCCACTTCCGCTGGACCCCAGTGCTCCAGCCCACTGCACCTTGGGCACCTGCGTGTGCCTGGCAGGATTCGGGATGACCAGTTGAGACTCAAACCAGGGTCACCATGTGCAATCCAACTTCTCTTGAGCAGAGCATCACACAACAGCCCAAAGCTGGCCCCACCTTTTGTTTTAACCACCCACCACCTCGGTATATACACCTCTGAGATCACATACAGAACACGTGAAGGAGCTGCTCGATTTTAGGGGACTTCTTTTCCTACTCCGTAATACGGTGCTATGCCCTCAATAAAATTATTTAAAAAAAAAAAAAAGAACCAGCAGGTGGTGTGGTGGTTAAGGGCGCTGGACTCCCACATGGCTGACCAAGGTTCAAGTCCTGGACCTGGCGGTTTGATTTTTGGTTTCTCACTTTCTCTCTCTCTCTCTAGTTCTCATTCTTGCTCTGTCCCCCTCTGGTCAAATTAAAAATAAATTAAATAAAATAATTCTTAAAAAAATAAAGAACTATTTAAAAAAAGAAATACCTCCTGCTATGCGTAATTAGGGTTCCCAAAAGAAAATTACTAAACCACAGAGAAGAACTACTAGAAAAAGAGTGAACCTTCGTTAATGAGATTTTTTTTTCTTCTTGAAAATTATAATGGAAGCAGATAAAGAAGACAGATTCTCTTTATAGAAAATGCATCTTTGAAATAGAAGAATATAATTTTTTTCTTGTATCTGCGTAAAGAAACACTGTTTGGATAAATAAGAAACTCATAAAAGTAGGTACCCACAAGGGATAGCAGTGAGATGGGGGAGCAGAGAAACCACAGAGAGATGGGAGCTAAATTTTTTCAATATCATTTCATACAGTTTGATTTTAAAATCATGTGATTATGGGGCCGGCAGGTGGCACTGAACTCCCACGTGGCCAACTGCAGTTCGAATCCTGGACCTGGCACCACAGAGAGATGGGAGTTAAATTTTTTCAGTATCATTTCATACAGTTTGATTTTAAAATCATGTGATTATGGGGCCGGCAGGTGGCACTGGACTCCTACGTGGCCAACTGTGGTTCGAGTCCTGGACCTGGCTGTTTTCTTTCTCACTTTCTCTCTCTCTCTCTCTCTCTGTCCCTCTCTGGTCAAATTAAAATAGTGAATAGATGGATAAAGTTGAATAGAAATAATTCTTTAAAAAATCATGTGATTATAAATGTTAAGAACAAAATTAAAAAAGAAAAAAATCATCTACTGATAGCACAGATCAGGGACACCCAAGAGGCATGGTGGTTAAGGTTGCTAGATACAACATGCCCAACTGCACAGTTCGATTCCCAGATCTGGAGGATTGAAAAACACACCAGGCGCTTATGCATGTATGCCAAAATCCCAAAAGAAGAATGGAGAAGGGATTGAGATGGCCATCCTCCCGTGGGCGATCTCCCCCCCCATCTCTCCAAAGAGTGCACATGCTCTCTCACAAATCTTTTCAAAAGTAAAAAACATACCATAGGGCATCTTTTATGAATATGCAACCTATGCTGAGGCCCTTTAGAATGTTTAGAAGTGAAAATCTCATACTTCTCAAAATAGAGATGACTACACAGTAAAGAGAATTAGAAGCACACGCTCCAAGTCAGTCTCGCTCCTGACACTTCAGCCTTTCTCCCCATTCAGGTGGCAGCTCGCAGCTTGCCACTGCTGGGAGTAACCGCAGAGCAGCAGCGCCTCGCCGGGAGAGCGTGGGAACTGCAGGACAGGCCTGGGCGCAGACTCTGGTTCTGCCACTTTCTAGAGTTTCAAGGCCTTGGGTACGTTACTCAATACCTGAAGCTTTAGTTTCCTCCTTTGGTAAAATGGTGATACTATCTCCTACATTCTCAGAGTAACGGTGAGTTTTAAAATAAGTGGCGGGTGTGAAATGTTATGAGAACCCAAGAACTGTTCTCTCTCCCTGGGTCATTGGAAAAGTCATGATGCATCTTTGCATGGAAAACATAGAAAAACACAAGGCTTTTCCGATGACCCAGTACTACTGTGCCACATGAATTATAACCTCACCTAAAAGATTTCTAGAATTAACGGGGTAAATCGTTTTGTCAATTACTCTTGAAGATGATCGGGTACACACCATTAAAGTAGTCCTACATCAAGAAAGTCATGCCGTGTTTTTCTGTTTATCTGTACAAAACTGTGCCGTGACTTTACCGATGATGCGGTAGAATGAGAATACAGATCTGAATTAATGCAAAAGAGGAAGTTGTATATATTAGCTTTATAAATATGAAGGCAACCAATACAAAATTTATTAAAATTATATGCTCTAAATAAATGTTAAAAAGAGTATTACTCTTTTTTAAGAATTATTTTAACTTAATTGATTTTTTTCAGGGCGCATGCACTCGCCAGGAAGACAGAGAGAGACAGAGAGATAGAAAGTGAGAAATCACCCCCTAGGGCGGATGGCCACACCGCAATCCCCTCTCCTCCCTTCTCCTCTCAGGATCTTGGGCACGCACGCACACGTGCCCGGAATGAGTTTTAAGCCACTGGGTCCGGGACATGAACCACGATCCACTACATGGGAGTGCAGAGACATAGCCATTACACTAACTGCTGGTCCCGATTAATTCATTTTAATTTGACCAGAGAAAAACTACACATGAAGACCAGCAGATGGCGGATGGGTTACATTACTGGACTCCCACGTAGTCGACTGTGGTCCAAGTCCCAGACCCAGTCACTTAATAGGTGACTGGGTGCTCTGTGAGGCTGACCCCGGGGGAAGGTTCCACGTTCACATCTAAAGAGGTCCTGAGCCTGCCAAGTGGAAGCACGCTGTGGTCTGGGCTGGCTGACAATGGAGGAAGAATGTGGAGTGAGAACTATAGTTGGAGATGCCTCTGTCTCTCTTTCTATCTCCCTTAAGGAAAAAACACTGATAAATAAGCTTAAAAAAAAAAGCAGCAGGTGTAGTAGTTATACCATAGTGGTTATATCACTCCACTCTCACATAGCCGACTGCAGTTCAAGTCCTGGATCCGGTGGTTTGAAATCATACCAGTCACATGTACGTGTGTGCACAAGATCCTGAGAGGAGAAAGGAGAGGGACTGTGGTGTGGCCAGCCATGGGGGAGGGGTGATATCTCACTTTCCCTCTGGCTATCTCTCCCCACTCCAAGCCAGCACACACGCCCTAAGGCAAAAACCTCTTAAAAAAAAAAAAAATACCAGTCGTTAAGGGTGCTGGACTCCCACATGGCCGACCACAGTTCAAGTCCTGGACCTGGCAGCTTGCTTTCTTGCTTTCCCTTTCTTTGTCTCTGTCTGGTCAAATTAAAAAATAATAACAACAAATGGAATTAAATAAATAATTCTTTAAAAAAAAAAAAAATACCAGCTGATCTGGTCAAATTTAAATAAATAAATAAAGTTAAAATAAAAAAGAATTCTTTTTTTTTTTTTTTTAAGAATTATTTTATTTAACTTTATTTATTTACTTATTTTTTAATTTGACCAGAGAGGGACAGAGATAGAACGTGAGAAAGCAAACTGCCAGGTCTGGGACTCGAACCGTGGTCAGCCATGTGGGAGTCCAGCATCCTTAACCACCGTGCCACCTGCCGGCCCCAAATTCTTTAAAAAAATACCATGCCAGGATCCTAAGAGGAGAATGTGCATGCCTAGGATCCTGAGAGGAGAATGGAGAAGGAACTGCAGTGTGGCCATCCCCCCTGGGTGGTGACTTCTCACTTTCCCTCCCTGTCTTTCTGTCTCCAGTGAGTACACACGTCGTATGGCAAAACTGGGAAAAAAAAAACCTTTAAATCTGAAATACCTTGGCACACATTATTTGGGGCAACTTGTATTTGAATAGGCCTTTGCAAGTAAAATCCTATGCTTTACTTTTTGCCTGAGTCTTCCTTTTAGGGACTGAAAATGGCCAGCATTTTTGTTTTTAAATCCCTGACAGTGACTTCTTCCTCTAAATGTCACCAGACGTAGTAGCACGCCTCCTTTGGGACTATGCTCAAACACAGTAACTTACAATTTGTCTTGCTCCCTAAGTTTCCATGAAACCAATGAACTCATACACAACCGGTAAACACAGACACCGCGTCAGCTTAATGTGGATGTCGTGTTGGCTTATAGCCGGTTTTTCCTAAGTAAAGGGAGCCAGAAAAGCGGGAGTAAGATGATGGCTTTCCTTTTTGAATTATTTAATTGTATTTATTTTTTTTTTCATATGTGCTCACCAGAGAGAGGGGGGAAGTAAGAAAGCAAGCCACCAAGTCCAAGACTCGAACTGCAGTCGGCCATGTGGTAAGCTCAGTGCCTTAACCACCGCACCACCTGCCGGCCCCGAATGATAACGTCCAACAGGAAAGGAAAGCCGTGAGCGACCTGGAGGCTGTGCAGGCAGGGTCCCTTTCAGCTTTCAGAACCCAGCACAGACACTCGACACACACGGCCGAGAATGAAAGCGACTATTCATCGAGAGCCTGGCTAGGTGAAGCAACTTCATCTTGGAATGAGCTCAAGTGAGTCTTGGGGACACCATGCCAAGCCGCAGAGCTGGGACTGGACCCTGGTCTGCCGCGGGTGCCTGAACCCGTCCTCCACGCTCACAGACAGGCTATGCTGTGGTCTCTGAGCAGCGAGGTGCCAAAGCATCGTGGCATATTCCTAGTCCAGGACTGACTGCGTCTTCCAAACCAAAATACGCTATAATCAATCTGACAGATTCAAACATCTATGAGGGTAAACTATAGCTTTAAAAAAATTATTTTAAACATGTATTTAATAAAATAGGAGAACCTCACTTTTTTTTTTTAAGAGAGCAAT